CTTGTTCAATTGCATTACATTTGTGTAACCAGGTATAAAATGTTACAAATGGAAAATTACTGAGAAGCAAAGCAGTCATTAGAGTGACTTATAAATGGAGTAAAGTTATCACAAAAGTTTTACCAATTTTTTATGTTTCTGGTATGTAGATCCCATTATTATTATCTTACTTTCTTATATGTCTTATTACAAATAAAACAGTAAAAGCAGATCCTTATGTCTAACAGATCCTTATTATCTATACAACTATATATAATACCAACAGACAAAGAGGGCAGTTGGCCAAAGTGAATGTTAAATGTCTTGTATTCAAAAATACAGATAAAATAAACCCAAGAATAAATTATGGTATTTCACAAGAAATCCAGAAATTTAGAAAATGTGGAAAATAAAAATAAAGAATTTTATCTCTATTGGAAGTAAATATTTCTAGACATTGCTTTGAAGATAGACTAATTGTTACCAGAAAAGCCCATATCTGATTACTTTTGTGACACTATTTCCTGAGAGAATTCTTAGTTGTTAACTATCCTCAATTAAGAAGCAGAAAAGCAAATAAAAGAGATATTAAATAACTAAAAGCAACAGCAGCACCTTGGTGGTACAAAGCAGATTATTTCCAGGTGGAAGTCCTATATTGCAGATGGTCACTGAGCAAGAACAGACATGGAAAGTGCCCTTGCTTACCAGGAAGGAAGAAAATTGTTATGGTAACCAATACCTAACCCACAGTGCATATCCTAGGGGCCCAGAGAGTTCTATCTGATACAAAAATGTTAATTTTAATGCTAGTAGCTTAATTCATTTGAATTAAAATTTATGACATATATTCTTCAACTGCTCAATAGTTTTTTATTTTGAATACTTTATGTCAACATACATGAATGTTGTATATGTAAAAAAAAAAAAAAGAGGTTTTTTTTTTCCAAATTGATTTTGGAAATTCATCAAATTTCAAATTGTACAATTAGGAAAAATATTCTTAAAGCATATGGAATATAACTTAAACATCATACATTCATCAAATACCCAAAACAATAATGAATATAGCCTTGAAGAATGTGCCATTCAGAAGAGAAAGTATCTTTACATAAATTTAAAATGGATATTGTGGGACTACATGATGTTAACACAGATCTACAAACAGAACAGGAGGTGCAACAGAATTTTGGATGGAGTATGTTAAACACACAGGATTATTTGAACCAGGGATCCCTCCCTTAGTATTTATCACACACTGATTCTCTGAAAACATTTTAAGAGTTGAAAGTTTGTAATAGAAAAAAAAATTTTTTTAACAAGACTCAAAATTTCCTTATAGCTTAGAAATTTAAAGAGAAATTCTTCTTGTATTTATTTTTCTTTTTCACAGCCAATTAATTAAACACTATATAAAGCAGGATTTGGCCCTCTGTAAAGAATTATTTTTAAACCACAAATATAATATTTGAGGACAAAAATTTTAGCCCAAAGTTGAATCTTGACAAGATTATGTGAAACTTAAATTTCATTGTCTGAAATACTTTGATACTTAAATAATAAAAACTTCAAAAATAGAGGTGAAGAAAATGATTTGCTATAAAATTTTATTTTCTGAATATACGTGAGGACATTTTTGAGACTTTGAACTATTCCTGGCATACAGAAATTTTTCTCCAGAATTTTTGAGCTATAGGGAATAGTAAATATTTTTAATCTAACCTCCTTTTTTGGAAGGGAAAACCAAAGTCCTAGGAGTGAAAATATCCAATCTCAATCTACAAACCTACTTAAATGCAAAGCATGAAGCAAAGAAATCCTAATCCCTGCTCCAGTTTTCATTTAAAAGGTTTTTCTAGTGGAAAATAAAGAGATGAATAACGTCTAGGGATCTTGAACACTTGAAGCACAACATCTGAAGCTGAGATGGAGGAGGCTGACAAACCAAAGTCAAGCAAGACCTCTGCCCTCAAATCCCTTCCTATGCCAGCAGCTCATCTTTCTTCTCTGGCCCCGTAATTCTCATCTAGAAATCCTCGCACAAATCTATGTCTCATGCTTGTCTCTCTCACTCCACTGTGGACTTTGCTCTGTCCTGTGACTTCTGTTCACCTGCTTTTAGAGATTCCAAGACACCACACCCAATCTCACCCAAACAAGCTACCTATCTCACTATGGTAGTTTCAAATCATTTCACTGAATCTTCAATAACATTTCCAAATCCAAAAAATCAAAACCAAACACAATCTCCCTTAAAATTAACTGCGGTTTTCAGCTTCCCCATTCCTGTTATTACAGTTATTTTCCTCTAAAACTGTCAGTCTCAATTTTTAAAAAATATTTAATTCCTTCCTCACCTCCTGTGACTCCCATTATCTATCAGACCCCCCATCCTATGTGTTTTCAATCTCCATAGAATCACAACCAATAGGAGATACGTATTAATTCCGACAGCTTGGGAAGATTCTAAGGAACTGACTCACATGGTGGAGTCTGACGGCCAGCAGGCAGCTATAGAATGAGAATCAATATCCCACTTCAAAAGTCAAGAGAGAAGAATTCTCTCTTACAAGAGAGTGAAGGAAGAGGTCAATCTTTTATTCTCTTCAGGTTTTTCAACTAATTGGATGAGGGCACCCATGTTATGGAAGGCAATTTGCTTTACTCAGTCTAATTGTAATTTAAATGGAATCTTTTCCAAAAACACCCTCACAGAAACACCCAAAGTAATATATAACCAAATATCTGGGTAACTTGTGGCCCAGTCAAGTTGACGCTACAAATTAACCATTATGGCTTTACTTTTTAAAAGTTAGCCACCTTTTTGCCCTGCTCATCACCATCTTCTCAATAATAACTTTAGAAGTTATTAATTCTTCTTTAGAATCATTTCACTGAATCTTCTTCTTTAGAATTTATAACTTCTAAAGTTCTTATAATCTCCTACTTGTTTTCAGGAAATGGATGTGAACCAGCCCTGTCCTCACACTGTCTACATGCCATGGCACATTTATTTTCAGAAATGTGTTCTTATCATATAATTCCTCCATTGTTCTTGAACCCACAATGGATTTACTCTGAAAAATTCTGATTCTTTTTGTGAACTGACCTTTCTCTTCTATCACTCTCTTAATTCACAACTTCCATTATAACAGGCCATTGGTTTAAATATCTTCTTCACACATCTACACCTATCTACACACATCTCTCAAGACACTCCCCTTCTCTGAACAGCACTATATGCTCTTTTTCTATCCCAGTTTTAAACACCTGCCAAGGTTTGTCTCGAGATTTTCATCCTTTATGAAATTTTCTTAATAATACAAATCATTTAGGTCTTTTAATTTTTTAATTCATACAACTGTAAGAACTAAACAAAACTGTTACCCTACACTAGTCTGCCTTGTTCCCTAACTTATTTATTTCTATTGTGTATCCCTCTTTCCCTGCTCTCCGAGTTATCCCACAGCCTCCAAATATACACCTTTTATTTATCTTGGGCTAAAAATTTCTGAATCTGTGATGTGCCAGCACCATGCAGGTACTATCCTCAAGGAATTTATGTTATAATGGATAAATATGCAAACAATTATGGAGCAATGCACTGCATGCTATAATATAGGTAGATTCAAAGCTCTAAGAAAATATGAAGAATGTAACAAAGAAAAATACTACATTTTACTAGTAGAATAAGGAGTCAAGGGATAAACTTAATAGGAAAAAGGAAGTAAAAGATATTTCAAGTATTGAAATAACCAGTGCAAAGGAATCGAGAAAAGAGAATAGATAATATGTGTGTTTAAGGTATGATGAAACATTTACATATAATAGCAAAATTGTTGAGTATAAAAAAGGTACAAAACGGCTGAAAAACAAAAGATTAAATTCAGCAGAGGCATCATGGAGTAGCAGGTATAGAACCCCAGAAGCAAAACTGTCTGTAACACTGAGAATGCCAAATCCACAATGTGAGAGGCATGGCTAGAGTATGCAGCTAAGCTGCTTCTAACCAAGGAAGCTGGAAGTCCCTAACACAGAGGTGAGATTTTGCTTATCCCTCTTTGCCCATGATCATAAAGAACAAAGGACTTTTAGAACTCATTTGGTGACAAATCTAAACTCATTAGGCAACAAAACTGGCCTAAGCAAATATAAAGTCATTTATTATTTCAATTTATCTCATTTAGTATTAATATCTTTGAATTTCACTGCAGAAATATGAACCTTTTTTATTATGGGGAGTCATTTCAGATCTCACTGAATATGACAGGAAATACAGGGTAAATGGTCTTTTTCAAAACCTAGGATATTTCAAAAATCATACTACCTTTTTAAAATCTGATAAAGTCTCAATTCCAATACACAACTTTCCCTTAGGGTTTTAGATAAGACTCTCTGAAACTTGGATTTTGAACTCCCACAAAAATCAGTCAGATACACAGAGTTATGTTGTCCAAACTGTTTTCAGAGCCCACAGAAGGTCCATTTGGAATTGTTTTGCTGCATGGGGGATAAGTCCTCAGTGCCACATACCTTCTATTATTGGTCACTTTTATGACCTGTGGCAAAGTTTATTTTATTTAAGTAATATAATTTAAAAACAAAAATAAACTGCCAATCTTGAACTCTTAAGTCAACCTTCCCACCCCCTCATAATGCCAGGAACATCACAAAAAAAAAAAAAAAAGGAAAAGCAACATTCTCTTTGCCTCCTATAACCTTAATAGATAGTTTCCTGGAATTGTCTATTCAAATAGAAAATTAATTTCCATGCACAGCTGGAAATACCACAGTGGCAAGCAAGAAAAACATCAAACACCAGTAGATTAAATAAAAAGTGGAGGATCTATAAAGAGTCCACAAAACAGAACCTTGTTCAGTTAAGATGGTTATAAGAGAACAGCTGTTCAATTGTTAATTTAATGTATGAAAACATCTTTTTAAGTGAAGTAGCTATAATTACGTCAGTTTTAGAGCCAGATAACTGATTAAGGAATTATATCATTCAAGAAGTACTTCTAGAATTGTTATAAAGGGAGGAGAATTAGCATTCCCCTGGATAGAGATGGAAGAGGCCCTAAGATCTATACACACATACACAGTTAAGGCTTTGCTGCCCATTTTGTGACATCTGTTTATTTCAGGTCGGGATAATGGAAAAGTTCTGGAGATGGATAGTGGCAATGGTTACACAATAATATGAATGTACTCAACACCACTAAAGTATACACTCAAGGTTACAATGGTAAAATCAACCACAATTTACAAAAGTCTTATAAATCAAAATAGGACAGCAGAAAAGAAAAATGAGCAGAGAACACAAATTCAAAATTGGAGGGAGAAAATACCATAAAGATATGGGGAAAAAAGTTCAAAATCACTTGTAATCAAGAATACAAGTAAAACTGTCTACAAAATATTACATTTAATCTTTCCAAGTAGTAAAGATGAAAATGATTGACAATTAAATTTTTTTAAACAGCAGCTTCTCTAAACCCACTGACAGAGCAAACTCTTTAAACATCTCCCTCCTTGGACTTGGACCTAATGGGCATCCCTCTTTGCACTGACAGCTATCAAGAAGAGGCTCTTGGTGCCATCTGGGGACTGTTTTCTGCTTCTATTACTGCCTCAGACAGTGAATCATACGGCTAACTCTCAACTAATAAGCAAGCAAAAAGTAGAATGATATCCTTTGCATGAACACTTTAAAAACAAAAAGAAGAGTCAGAAAACAGACCACCACCTTCAGGAACTGCCACACAGAAAAACAAAACCAAAAGTGGTATCAATGTGCAAATGACAAAGCTCCACATGGCACCCAGACAGTGGCCCTCCCAGTCCTGCTGCCTTGATTTTGAGGTTGTTAAGGGGAAAAAAAAATCATCAGTTCACAGTACAGAACTGACACTGTGTAAACAGCTACAGGGGGAAAGTTCAATAAAAATCAATGTGTTATGAAAGCAAAGACAGAGGGAAACATTTAAGGTGAATTCTACAGGTGATCTTTGCAGGACTTCATAATGAATAAAAGGTCAAGTGCAAGATATCAAGAACATTTCCAGATGTTAGGGCTTGGATTCGGAATGTTGCACAAAGGTTCACGCATTGAAGGCTTGGTCCCCAGTGCAGAAACATTCAGAGGTGGGGCTCTATTGAAGTGATTTTGATTGTGAGGGCTCCGATCTCAACAGTGGATTAATTCATTGATGGATTCATAATTCGATGACATTATTCGGAGTACTAGAAACTTTAGAAGGCGAGTCTAGTTGGGAAAATTAGGTTATTAGGGGCATCCATAGAAGGCTATGTCCCCAGCCCCTTTCTCCTTCTGCTTCCTAGCTTCCCTGAGGTAAGCAGCTTTCCTCCACCATGCCCTTCCGCCATGTTTCTGCCTTGCCACAGGCCTAAAAGCAATGGAGCCAGCTGACCATGGACTAAAACTAGGAGGCAAAATAAACCTTTCCTCTTCTAAGCCTATTTTCTTAGTGATAAAAAAAAAAAAACTAACACATTGGACAAAGCATAAAAGAGTTCCAAAGAGTTATACTGTGTTATAAATCATGGAGCTACATTTCTTTTATCTTTGATGAACAAAACACCTCATTCTTCAATAAATCTCCCGGCATATACTGCAAACAATGAGAGGGATCAATGTAGTTATATGAATAATTCATTCCTCAAAAAAGGAGGAAGTAAGTAGCTGGTAAAACACCTGGCACAAAGTAGAAGTTCAATAAATATTTGTTGAAGTGAACTGAAACAAATGGGAGAAGCTGGTAAAGATTATCTGTATCTATTGATGAAATTTGCTAATTATATTGTCCCAAATTTCCATCTGTTTTTACCTCTGTAAAATAACTGACCTCTTCTATAGAAAGAGCTGTAAATATGGTGTTCTTTCCACTGGCAGTACAGTTATCAAACACCTGCCCAACATGGTGTTCAGAGACTTGGTGATAATTTATCTCCCCCATAATCAGCATCTTTAATCTAGTTCTTGGTCACAAAAATGCAAGAATGCTAAAGGATGGTGCAGGGAGAGGGAAGACTGTAGAATATTAATAGCTGATCAAAGAGATTCTAAAAAGAGAGAGCCTGATGTCAGATAAGCCACCTCAAAGAGAAACACTAAATTGCCAGCCTTCTTCAGTTTCCTCACTTGCAAATTAGGAAATGGACCCAGTCAGTGGCTTCCAGCTTTTTTAACTACAATTCACACCAGTAAATATGTTTCATAATAAAAACGGTTTACACACACATAGAGACATGCTTATCTATATAAAATTCAAACATCAGCTTCATAAATTAATACTTAATCTTTAAATGTCAGTGCACTTTGGTATACTGTATTGTAGTCTATTCCATTCTGTTGTTTAATTGGAACCTACTAAATTGATTTCATAACCCATTAATAGTACATGACATGCAGTTTGGAAAACCAGATGATTTCTTTTCAGTTCATTAAAAAAAAAAACATAATTTTACTTAAAAGCAATCTAAAAATATCCACCACTCCCAAATACTACTTCCTCAATGACCTTTCCAAAGCTGATTCCTCAGTAAAATGACACAACCCTATATATTTGCCTTCCCTTCCTCCTTACAGTAAATACCCATAATGCTTTCCTTTCAAAGGCTTTAAAAGTGATTTTTCCCATGGTTTATGCTACTGCTAAACTTGACAATGGAAGTGTGCACAAGGGATTTTGCAATAAAAAGTTAAACATTTACCCAAAGAACTCCATTTACCCATAACAAAGTGCACTTGAATCTTTATAAACCATCAGGCATTAGCCAAGCAAAAGTCAGAATGATATTATACAGCAGCAACAAATGACATAAATCTGAATTTTAATTAAGTGAAAGACATTTTAAACAAGTTTATTCTCCCTTCCAAGAATTTGTTCCCTGAAACAAAAAATATTCTAACTTTCTAAAATAGCATCTATGGTCACTGTTGCAGATTTGCTTAATCTGCCACCTTCCGCTGAAGCACCCTCCGCCTCATCTCCACAGATTCGCAGGAAATCTCTGGTACAAAATGAGCTGTTTTTGGAGTCAAGCAATACTTTCCAATCACAACTCAGGTGTATTTTTTCAATTACGTATCTGGGGAAAGGCCTTGTTTACTTCTTCTCATCACAGATTTAAAACCAGTTAAACCTTCGTCTCCTCAAAGGCAATGCAACCTTGACATGGAATCCTCATGGTGATGTTGTGCTTGTCAATATTTCAAAATATTTTACTCTAAAACTTCTCTTGGTTTCTAAGCCTTAGAGGGTAAAGAAGAAATAAGTCCTACGTGTATTTTATGGCATTTGGATATTTTAATCTTTGTAGTTTATAAAATAAAATTTAGAGCCTGAAAGTTTTAAATGTTAAAAAGTTTGAATGCATAAATATTGAAGAAATACAAATATCAAGAAGTTAGGACCATTGTAATCCTGTAATCAAAGCATTCTGTGTATCTGACAAACTTGGCAAGACACATTTTTATTTTTAATTTTTGAACTACTAATTCTGGAGGAAAAACAAACACCATTAACTTCCTCTTCAGTCACTAGCTGTCTGTGCCATGTGTTTTTATCGCTTCCTGCCACAAGGAAATAACATTTGAAACAAAGAATGATATTCAAAGGGAGTTCTATGGGTTAGACCAAAATCATTTTTTCAGGAACTCAGAAGCAATGTAAACATATTTAAATGATAGTGCAGGGTAACAAAACACTTCGGAAGACCTTCACGTTTTTGTTTTATTACATGATTTCATCTAATGCTTATGAGGTCTTCAAAGATTACTTGAGGAATGAATTAAACTTGGTCAAGTTAAGTAATTTTTCTCCACCTACATGGCTAATAAATGACAGAGCCAGAATTTAAGTCCTGCTCTATTTCATACCCAACCTCATGGTAAAAACTATCTCATGCCATTTTGCCTACAAGCCTTTTGATCAAATTACAGGTTTTTATTTTAACTATTTGTTTAAATTGCCAAGGGGCTGTTTCATTTTGGTGGTATTGGAATTGAGTCCAGGGCCTTGTGTATGGCATGGTAGGCAAACAATCTACCACTGAGCTATACTCCCATCCCTAGTTGCCACCAGTTTCTGTGTATGGGTAGTGGGGACAGTGATAAAAGGAGACTGTAATAATAAGATCATAAAGACTAATTATTCTGTATCTTTAGTTCAACAGTTACTTATTAAATCCAGCAAATACACTAAGGACTAGAGAACCTAAACAAAGATGCAAAATTATAGTCCTTGTGCTAAGGTGTTACTGACAAGTTTAATAAAAGAACCCAACAGGTGAAGAAAGAAGCACAATTAGTTTGATACCTATAATTCTAAATATGTTACCACTTAATTGCACTGGAGAACTATTTATTGGTAGTGCAAGAGAACAAGAGAAGTAAATTTTTTAATGATTTCTGAATTTTATTTATTTGCTTTTAATGATTTATTTTATTCCCTTCTCCCATTTCTTTTTTTGTTTGCTCTAATTAGTTATACATGACAGTAGAATGCATTTATGTACTTTGATATGTCATACATAGATGGGATATAATTTCTCATTTTTCTGAGTATACATGTTGTAGAACTATATTAGTCAGGCAGTCACATAAGAGAAGTAAACTTTGACAGTGGATGAAATCCAAGAGATAGATAATATACTCCACATTTTTTAAATGTAAAAAATGATAATTTTCCCCAAATCAGATAAGAGGAAAAGACTGGATTGAAGTAGTCTAAGTCTAGTTAGCTTCAAAGCCCATCCTCTTTCCACCAGAATAGGAGAACTATATTATAACAAGGTTCAACCACAGCCTGTCTCATTATCTCCCCTTCGGCATGTGTGGTGCATGCAGCACACACAAATCCTTTTTGTGTAAGAGGCTACTGAGGCCTGCATGCTCCTGACACAATGCAGCAGATCAGGGAACTATATAAAAGCACATATCCTAGACCAATGATCATATTTGGAAAAAGAACATTTTACCCAGTGAGACCTTGGAACCACTGGTCAGACACAGGAGGACTCTAATAGTCAGGAAAAAAAAAAGTTTCACAATATTGAGTTACTTGATTCAATATTTAAAATATTAAATATATGTGAAAATAACAAGTATTTTATTGTTGA